TTAAAAGGGTGGGCCGTAGATAAGGGAGCCAGGGCATGCTTCAGGTCACAAGAGAGGAGTTGGCCTCAGAGTGAAAATGGACTCCTTCTTTCTAAGGGACTGGAGGCAGAACATGTGGGTTTGTAACCAGGAAGCTAATAGGTTAGGCTTAGGAAGAAAAACTTCCAACTCCTAACTTAATTGCTGGAATATTTTAAAGAATGGTGAGGCAAGGTTGCTAACTTAAAAACAAGGTTTGAAAATAGACATGAATACACAATCATTTTACAGGTTAATATCAGATGTCTCAATTGCAAATATTTATGAGACTAATATTTTTCATCATTGTCAGCACTTTTATTGTGATTATGTGCTGAAAAATCCATAATTTGGTAATATTTAAACACTTACATAAACACAGTAATATCTAAGCTGAATTGTTTGTTGTCAGGTAGTATCACCATGTGTCAGCTGATAAATTCGTATTTGAATTTGGTACATTGTAGAGGACGGATATAATTAAGGGATCCGTGAATTCCACCTTACCCCAGTATTACAACAAAGGTTTAACATTTTAAAATATCACAAGTATAAGTCATATGTTTTACAAATTAAAGATAATATTATCCAAATAGATGAAACAAAAAACATTTAGCAAAATTTATTATTCATACATTAACTATCACATATAATGATGAAACTTCAAAGAAATGAACTAAGATTATTACTATAATTTTAAGCCTATTTGAATGCGATTGGAAATGATCCTGTAAAAACAAAACAAAACAAAACAAAAAAAATTGTATTTAAAACCATAAGGACTCTTAAGTTCCAGACAGTACAGCAAGACAAAAGAAATTAATCTATAACTCATAAGAATAATGAGAGACTTCAGCAAAATATAAACTTATATACAAAATGGACTCTATTCTGTAACAACAGACTTAGAAAAGTTAGAAAGCTATTTTTAAGTAGAAATGTCAATACTATTAGCAACAAAGTTGAACACCTAAGAATAAATCTAAAAATGTATCTATAAAAATTTTTAGAAAAATTTTAGAGTTTGAAAACTGTAATAATTTATTAAAAAGCTAAATAAATGGCAAATATTTAATATTAATGGAAGGGAAGGGTTAATATCATAAAGTTATCAATTCTCCCCTAACTGGTTTATACATAAAAATTTTAAAACACTTAAACATTTAAGAGAATATTCTATGATCTCATGGGGGAAGAGAAAGCAATAAGGATCTCAAATAAAACACTAAATGAAACAAAATGTTAAAGAATTTGACTACATTAAAACTGCAAACTAATGATACTATACAAAATGACAAAATAAGTTATAGACTACAAGAGATTTGCAATATATAGAATTAGCAAAATACAAATATGTTCAAAAACTTTTATGTATAACTGAAGAAAGGAACAGTCCAGTAGAATAAAGGGCCAAGAACATAGGTACCAGAAATTCATACCTATATATCTAATAACTTTTTGATAAGATATTCATTGCTCCTTAATAACAAGTAACATATTAAAATCACAACATATCATTTTGTACTCATCTGGTGAATAAATTTTAAGCCTGATAATATCAAACATTACCGAAGATATATAGTATAGTAAATTGAACTTTTAACCATTGGTGTGAGGATAAAAACTGGCAAAACCACTTTGGAGGACATTTGGCAAAAACCAGTGTACTTGAGAATGTATATACCCTACAACCAGCAATTCAACTCTAGGCTATATACTAAAAAAAAATATTGACATGAGTAAAAGAGGTATGCATGTATTGTTTACTGCAGCACTGTCTGCCGCAGAAGAAAAAAAAACAAAAATTTAATCATTGAGAAAAAGGTTACATTGTGGTTTGATAACATGAAATAGTGTAATAGTAGAAAAAAATGAAAGGATGAAAGACATAATTAATAATTATAAAAACAAAATGCCATGAGTCTTAGAAGAATACATAAAGTATGATATTGCTTATTTAAAATTTAAAGATACAAAATAATGATATATTACTTGGGGATATGTATGGCGTAAAAGTACAAAGAAATGCATGAAATAATAAATGCATTCACGACAATTATTGTACCTGAGTGGAGAGAGAGGATCATATTTGGAAAGGTGTATTGTATATGGTGCTTTAAATATTATAAAATATTTAAATATTATATATATCTTGTTTCTTCAAGTGGATAGTCAGTACATAGATTTTTCTTTTATCTTTTAATGCCTATATATTTAAATATTGCATAATACACTTTAAAAAGCAGGAGTTAGTGAAGACTAACATTTATTGAGCTCTTTATTGTAAGACTAGTACTTTCTAAACTTTATATGCATTATCTCATTTGATCTTAGTAACCCTTCAAAGAAGTTGTATTATGCACCTTTTACTTAGAAAGGAAACCTAGACTTTAGAAGTTATGTAACCTTATCAGGCCATATAGCTATTAAGTACCAGAAGCAGAATATGAAGCTGCTGGAGAAGTCTTTTGAAAACTCACTCTCATCCTCTATGAAGGTTAATCAACCTCTTTTGTGTGTGGGGGGGTGTGCACAATGCTCAGATGTGTTTTCTTTTTAAATAAATTTTATTTTATTTTATCCCATTCCACCCTTACACCACCTACCCTCCCTATGTACGGAAGCTTTGTTTCCATTTTGTCCTTCTATTTTCACTATATTTCTTGTCCCTTCCTTCCTTTCTCCCTTCCTCCTCCCATGTTGCCTTTCCCATTTGAACGCTTTCTTCCCATTTTCCAACAGCCATTATACATCTCAGTCCTTATTTCCACTTTCGGTTTCTAACACCAGAGAATGTGTATGCGATTAATTTCACTTAAGAGCATGTTCTCAAAAACTACAGACATTTAGAGCTAAATGGATGCACAATGAGGCCATACTCTTAAGTGAAATAAATAGGACACACATGTACATACCGCATTGTTTCTGATGTGAGAAACACAAAGTGTAAATAAGGATCAAAACATATAATAAATAGTATGGAATAGGAAGATAAGGCCCAAAGGGAAGGAGAAGTACAAATGGTAGGGAAAGTGAAAGGAATAAATATTAGAAAAGGAAAAAATGGAAACAAAATCTTTGTAAATAGGGAGGGGTGGAGGGGTTGAAGTGACAGCAGGGAATGGGGAAAAAAATAAGAACCAAAATTTATCATGTGAAGGTACTACAAATTCCCAATGATGAATGTCATCATACTGTATAACTAAAATGTACCAATAAACTTAATGAATTTTTTAAAAATGAGCACGATCTCAAGGTCCATCCATTTAGCTATAAATGCCTGAAGCTCATCTTTCTCTATGGCCGTGTAATACTCCATTGTATTAAAAAAATCCACATCTTCTTTATCCCTTCATCTATTGATAGGCATCCTGGCTGTTTCTGAGATTTAGCTATTACAAACTGTGCTGCTATAAACATGGACATGCATATATCACTTTTAATTCTTTTGGGAAGGTACCAAGAAGAGGTATAGCTGGGTCAAACAGAAGCTCTAGTTTTAGTTTCTTGAGAAATCTCCACACTGTAGAGTGGTTGCACCACTCTGCACTCTCGTCAGTAGTGGAGAAGGCTTCCCTTTTCCCCACAGCTTCTCCGGCATTTGCTTTTTTAAAGGCCTTATTAGCTACAAAGAAGTCCTCAGAATTGTGCAACTATCATTCCTACCTCTGGATGCAGCTGTAATTACAGCAATAGAGCATTACTGCTTTAGCCTCTAAACTCAGTGACTTTCTGAAGCTAGAAGAGCATTTTCTGTGGCACACAGGGCATGAGTCATTTTCTTAGGTATCTGTTTATTCATTCAACAAATATTTATCAAGAGCCTACATAGCACAGTGGTAAACCACAATTTATTTCTTGTCTACATGATTTTTGCAGTTTGCCAAGCTTTTTTATAGTTTGCCAAGCTTTGAGGATGCAAATTTGAAATTTCCATTTTCATTTCCAACTAATAAAACTAATGTTGTGATTAATTATTAGTCATTTTAGAACTTGTAACCTGGCTTCTGTGGATTACACTTAACAGCCTAACTGTTGTTGATCTGAAAATTCATATGGTATCCCACTCTTTACTAAAAATAATATATATTGAAAACTTTTAAACTACTTTTGTTTAAACAAAACATTGAAATGAAAATGTTATATTTTAAAAGTTTAATATGACTACTTCCTTTTTTTCTCCCTGTACTTTCCTCTCTCCTTTTTCCCCACAGGCCAAAGAAAATCTCTCTCTCTCTCTGTCTCTCTCTCTCTCTCTCTCTCTCTCTCTCTCTCTCTCTCTCTCTCTCTCTCTCTCTCTTTTCTCTCGAGTTTACTGGTACTTTTTAGGTATACCGTACAGTTGCATTCATCATTGGGATCTTGTACCTTTACATGATGTATCTTGGTTCTTATTTTTTCCCCATAACCTGGCCCTCCCTTTACCCCCTCCAACCTTCCCTATTTACAAAGACTTTGTTTCCATTTTTTCCTTTTCTCATAGTTTTTCTTTTCCCTACTTTCCTTTCCCCTGCCCTTCCCACTTCCCCTACTCCTTTAGCCCTTTTCTTCCCAAAGAATATTTCTTTAATCCTCTATGCTTCAATGATATTTTGAGATTTTCCTTGACCATGTATTAAATATATTTTGTAATTCTATTCTTTCACCAAGATATTGAGCTTACAATAGCTCATAAAAGTGCTGAGGATGCATTTCAGTTTACTGAAATTACATTAAACTAAAATGGGATTTTAAAATTAATTTTCTTTCTAAAGAGCACTTTATTTTTTCCTATTTGCTAAGTTTCTGTAGGTAACCTTCATAACTGATAAAAGTTATGCCTCTAAATCACTGTGACCTCTTTGTAAATAATTACACAAACATAATATTGTTGAAAAGTAACCCTCATATTTAGTGTTCAGTCAAGTGATATCTGACATAAATATTTGAACATTTCATTCTTCTTTAACTATTTATTGTTTTTTTATATATTGAATATTCAGGGACCAGAAGGAATTTTGGGGACTCCAGGACAAAGAGGTCGTCCAGGAAAAAAGGTAATTTTTATATATCTCTTTATGCTAGCTTTTTTTCTTCTTGTATCCTCAATGCACCATAGGAAGCTATAATGATTTAGATAACTAATAAAGATTTAGAATTTAACTTTGAAATATACATTTGCATAAATTAATATTTAATTCCAGTTAGGAGTGCTTGTTACTTCAATTATTTAAGGGCCAATTTTCCAGTTTGTGGTTTGGAAAAACTGCTCTTGCTTCATTGCTTATTTGTCAAAAAGCCTTTTAGTAGATGATAGGCAAGAAAAAAGATAAAATGAAAATACTGTACCACTTATGCTATTTGATCAGTTCAGTAAAGTATTTAAGGGAAATGATTATGATTATAATTGTTTCTAGCTTTATTATTAATGTTTTTCTAAGTTGAAAATATCAATGACTGATTTTATCTTACTCATATAATAGGAACCACAAATCTAGACTTTTTGTCATTTGCTTACTTTGTATTTTACTAAAACTGCTATTTATATGTAAAACTCCAGTACATTATAATCTCATGGGATCAATAATTTGTTCAAATATTGGTGAAACATAGGAACAGTTTTCCCACTGGACCATAACAGTTCATAATATATTTGTTATAATTCTAATCAAACAGTATTCTAGTTCCTACAGCCCAGTTCTTATATTTCTGCAGTTACATTTCTCAAATTCAAAACTTTCAGTTAGAGGAACTTTGAAAAATGAAAAAAAAAAAAGTAATGAATTAGCTTAGTTACTATTCATGCCCATTAAAATAATACCAATATTTCATCATACATAGCAATGTCTAAAATCAATATGAAAGCTAGGAGTATAGCTCAGTAGTAGAGCACTTATTTGCCTAGCATGTGCAAGGCCCTCGATGAAACACATAAATAAATACATGCATACATTCATACATACAAAACAGAAAATCCATAGTAAAATGGATTCTAAATCCTAAACATTAAGATGAAGCCTGAAATCCTCAAAAAACAAAATAAAGCCCATAATCCTCTAGGAATACCAAAAATTTCCTGACTGGGGCCACAGTTTAGCTTTACATTTCTGTCTTCTTGAGTATCAGTAATAGAACAAGTTATTTCCCACTTTAAGAACACCTTTTAGGGTGAAGGGAGGGCAGCGGTATGGGGAAAAAACGAGAACCAAGATCTATCATGTAAAGGTACAAGATCCCAGTGATAAATGTTAACTGTACTGTACACTAAAAAGAACCAATAAACTCAATGAAAAAAAACCTTGTATAAGAATAGTTGTGCTTTGGTACTACAGCAGGGCTAATGAATATAATAGGAAATAGAAGATAACTAGTTTTCAGAACATTGTAAAAGGATATTAAAATGATCTGGACATTTATGTGGATATTTGAAGGCATACTCTTAAATGGAGAGTGATGATCCTAAATATACAGAACTATATACTGTCGGCTTTTCTTTTTTATTTGCACTTTATAACACTGAAATTCTTCATGGAAGTAGACTTTTCATGTTAATGATTACATACATGTGTATAGTCATACATAAAATTTAGAGTAAAAAGTTGAATATTTGGAATTCAACATGAGCAGTAGCTATCACCTGCTTGGTTGGTCAAAATTATCTCTTTAGTCTTCTTTTTCTAAAATTACTTTTATTTTTCAAACAATTTGTGTGATGACAGTGTATTATTATTATTGTCAGTGATTGTTTATAACTGTGTTAATGCAGAGTTGCTATTTACAGGTTTTGCTTACTGAATATCCCCTGCAGTAATTCAGGAAGTATAAAATTGTTTTTCTTACCTTTCTCTCATACTTATATCATCTGCAGGGTGATAAAGGACAAACAGGACCCATGGGAGAAATTGGAAGCAGAGGTGCTCCTGGACAAATTGGGGAAAGTGGTCCTAAGGGTGCCAGAGGAACTAGAGGTGCTGTGGTCAGTATTTGATTTGTTTCTAGAACTGAGGCCCTGTGGATAGAAAGGAAATGTATCCATGACCTTAAAGCTTCATCCCTTGATTAACTTTACAGAGAAGGCAACAGTTCCATTGAAAATAATCTATCTCCATGGGACGTGGAGAATTTTAAGCATTCCACAGTACTTAAATGGCTTAGTGGTTTCTGGACATGAAAAAGGAAAGGGAAAAAAAGCACTGAAAATGGAAATAAAATATGAAATGAGGTTTTTAAAAATCAGATTATGACTCCTAACCTAAGTAGGAAAGTTTATATGCCTAACGCTTAAAATCAGGATTTCATAACTTATAAAATAATGGTGTTGTGGTTAATAAATTGATTTGAAAATTAAGTTTCCTTGAAATGAGATTTCTTTCTATGCTTGGATTACCCATGCTTTATCTAGAGATTATTTTTCTAACTATTGTTATAACCCTAGTGAAATCTATTTATATCTTTAATTTATTGCATGAACTTTGCATGCTATTGGAAAGAAGTGTAGCATGATATTTCTGAACTTGCAATAGTAAAATTGTATTGCTGTTATATTTTGGACCTGTCCAGAAAGTCACAGTATGAAACAGATGCAAAATATTTAAAGTGTTGTTCAATTTAGTCTTCTGAGTCTTTCATAAACATCTTTACAAAATGCAGGTATATTCTCTCACATCCATTTAAATGTCACTAATGCAAGATTTTTCACCAAGACCTTTAATAGACCATTGCATAATCATTTTTTGTCTGAGTAAGATTTTCCTGAGGCTCGTTTTACACATTCCATTACTTGCTGACCTTTCAATCCTTCAGCCCTTTCTTACTTCCTTTTGTTTCAATTACTAACAGTTCTCCGTCTTTGGCCTGCTTGTTCAAAAATATTACATAATATGATTAATTTTAATGAATGGAAAAAGCCATATATTTAAATATTGCTTTCAAAGTAGCCAACTATGATTTTTTTTGCCATAAAAGTATTTACTTTTTAAATTTTGACACCTATTCCAAACTGCTTCCAAAGTGGTTTCACCAGATTTACATTCCACCACCCACATTTCATGGTAATCCATCTGGTGTTTGCTGATATCATGAGAAGATATCTCTCATTTCCCTATTTACATTTCCCTATTTACAACTAAATAATTTGTACTTTTTTCCTATAGAAGTTGCCTATTTATATTTTATATTTTCTACTAGGCTGTTGTTTTTTCCTTATTATTATTAATTCGCAACCACTCCTTATATATCTTAAATATAGTGCTGTTAAATATGTTGAAAATATATTACAAATGTATTTCCCTTTTTTGTTGTTTATCCTTTAGTTATGTTTATAATTACATTCCATATAGAACATTTCAATTTTTATATAATCAAACTTGTGAGTCTTTTTCTTTACAGTTTGTTTTTTTATTATAAATGCTTTCCCTACCTAAAGTATATAAAAATATCTTCCAGATTCTAATTCTAGTTCTAATTCTAATTCCAGATTCTAACTCTTAAAAAATATCTTCCAGATTCTAATTCTAGTTCTAATTCTAATTCCAGATTCTAACTCTTACAGTTTTATTTTAACTCTTTAAGACTTATGCAGTTTATTTACTTGTATATATGAGTTATAGAAGACAAATTTTCATCTATTTATCTGCCAATCTGTCCATATCACCCTTTTTTTCTGTTTATTTCGGGGGTGTTTGTTTTGTGTTGTTTTTCTGGGGGTTTTATTTTTGTTCTTGTTTTTTTAAATTTCTGGGGATTGAACCAAGAGCCTTGCACATGCTAGGCAAGCTCTCTAACACTGAGCTACATCTGCAACTTTTTTTTTTTCTTACTTTACAACAAGATCTCACTAAGTTGCCCAGGCTAGACTTGAGCCTGGGATCCTTCTGCTTCAAACTCCTGAGTAACTGGGATTACAGGCTTGGATACCACACTTGGCTCATATCACTCTGTATTTGTTATATGGTTATGGTATTTTTTAGATCTATTAGAGTAAATACTCTATAATTCATTTTTCAGGTAAGTTCTTATTATCTCTTGTGAGAACTGTACAATTAGCTCATCAGTTTCCTCTAGTATTGAATCTTTTCATACAAAACATCATGTCTGACTTTCCATTTACTTATGTCTTCTAATATACTGTATCCTCCAAGAAGAGTTATTTCTTTTCCTCTGTTCTTATACTTTTGTGTTGAATTTATTCTTAGCTTTTCAAATGAATTTTTTTCATTGTTAGTAAAGCCCTTTTTCCATTACATCATCTTACTAGTATTGTATAAGAAATCTGTGGTTTTCATATTCTGATCTGACACTCCCTGTAATGAATTTCGGTGATTCTTATGATTTCTTTCATCACCTTTCCTTATTTGTTTTCCTGGCTTACTACATTGATTAGAACTTCTAGAATGTGTAAGTAGAAGTCATGATAATGGAAACTTTGTCCTGTGCCTGATTTTAGAGAAAATACTTCAAATACTTATTGACAAGTATTGTCTGCAATTGTCTTTCGAACATATTCTTTATTACTTTAAAGAAATTTATTTTCACTCTTAAATGAGAGTTTTGATAAGGAGATGTTCAGTTTTACTAAATGCTATTATACTTGTTTAGATAATATCACACTTTCTCTCTTTTGTTCATATACGGAAATTCATTAACGGATTTCCAAAAGTTGAACTGATCACAAATTCCTAGAACAAATTTTACTTAGGTATGTTTGCATTGTTTTTTATTGTTGCTGTATTCAGTTTTCTCATATTTTATGTATGAATTTTTAGTGTATTACTTTAGTTTCTTTTAGGAATTTTGTATCTATATTTGTAAGTAAAATAGGCCTGTAGTTTTTTGGTATTTTTTTAAAGTGTAGTATGTAGTATCCTCAATTGGGTTTGTGTATAAGAGGTGAACAAGTCTTACAAAATAAGTTAGTAAGTTTTCCTCATTTTTCTGTGTTCTATAGGTTTGGAACTCAGATATTATCTGTTACTCAGATGTTGAGGACTGGACTGGTATCTCAGTGATAACAGCATTTGCCTAACATGTACAAGGCCCTGAATTTGATCCTAGAACTACAAAAAATTAAAATTAAAAAAATTTTGAGAAAATTTGTCTTTAAAACAATCTGAACTTAGTTGTTTTATTATTATTAGGTTTTTGACTTTTTATTATTATTAGGTCTTTTCAATTTTTAATAAATGTTAGAGTTGGGATATAGTTCAGTGGTAGAGCACTTGCCAGCATATGCAAGGCCCTGGGTTCATTTCTCAGCACTGCAAAAAATATAAGTTTTTTAAAATCCTGAGGTTATGTCCCTATTCTTTCTTGACTTTATTTTATTGTCTCTAGTCTTTCTTAAACAAATTTGTCAAAGGTGTAGCTAATTTATGAGTTCCAAGAATCACTGTTTTTTATTCAATTCTTTTCTGGCTTTCTTTTTCATTATTTTGTACTTTAAAATTATTTTAATTCTCTTTTCTTTGGGCTTATATTATGGTTCTTTTTCATATCTTCTGGAATTAAATATTTACCTCATTTGTTTTATTTCATTAATTTATTCAGTAAGTATATATTAAACTACCTTTATTCTGAATGCTACTTTGGTCATATCTCTCATATTTTTATGTTAGTGTTTTCACTATTCTTTTATAACTGGTTGAAATTCCAGATTTTATTTTCTGATTAGCAAGCTATTTGTTTTTTTTTTTTTCAAAAAAAGGTTTTTTTGTACTTAAAATGGATACTTTTAGTGTTTATAGCTCCTTTCTATTTATGTTGCAGTATAGTCAGAGAATGTGACCTATGATTTGTTTGAGAACATTTGTACATATGTAACATTTTTCTTCTCTGCATATTTTCAGCTGATTCCTGTCTTCAATCACAAAATTTTGGTCCACTGATCTTCAATGTTATTACAAATAAAAAATAAATAGTTTCTCTCTTTCCTATCAAAAGGATTAGAGAAATAAACATATGTCATTCAGCCATCGTGATCCAACATGCACTAGCTTCTTAGAGCACTTCAGTAACTTCTCATGTTACTTTCAATTAGTTGTGTAAATTGAATAAACTCTAGTCTATATTACTCATCTCAGTAATTACTGAATTCTTGTTCATATTTTAAAAATTGATTTTATGAAGTTCTTTTTTCAGATAAAGCCTGAACTTAACTGAATTAGCTTAAATGATCAATAATTATAATCTCATTTATTTTAGAACTCAGACTTTAGTGGTATAATCAAATAGGAACTACCATGTAGGATCAAGAGACCTGGTTCTAGTACCTGATTGGTGTGATATTGGCCAAGTCACAAACATATTCTATGCTTTCATTTCCTTATATCCTACTTGTTTGAAATTCAGATAGGACAGTTGTTGTGGAAACTTTTTAATACAGTAATATAAAAACATAGAACTTTTATAACCATTGTTTTTGCTTTTTTTAAACTTATTTCATCTTTTCAAAACTTTAGGGAAAATTCCTAATTAGTCTTTACTTTATATGGTTTCCTGATCTGTAAAATATTGATAAAGAGGAAATTAAAGACTAATCATCACACATAAGTTATTAATATTTTTAACAACTTTGGCCAGATTTAAAACCATATTCATCATAGCAATTGGGAATCCTCCATGAGTATGCAATTCTCCTGGCTCCCACATGTGATAATAGCAAAACCTCTCAAACTTTTCACTGTTTAGTGACACACATCTACCAGAAACTGTGACAGATAAAAATAAATTTCCAGGCCAGGGATTTAGCTCAGTGGTTCGGTGGCCTGCCTTGCAAGCGCAAGGACCTGAGTTCAATCCCTGGTACCAAAAAATAAATAAATAAATTTCCAAGAATTTTCTAGTAGAATTATGACAACTGAAAGTATTTCTTTTAATATGATGAAGTATGTTTATACCAGAAGTAAGCCATAAACTTTTTTGTGGAACGTCTGTGTTTCAGAACAAAATAAAGACAAAAGTTGGGATATTATTTTTTTGATTTCTCATTTCAAACTAGGTAGAATTTCAAACCATGAATATCTAAAGGTAAAAATTTAAATAACACACAAATTTGATGATATAAACAATTTTGTTTTCTTTCTCGTTAACATATAATTTATTTTTTAGGGTCCTTTGGGATTGATGGGACCTGATGGAGAACCAGGAATTCCAGGATATACGGTAAACATTTTTAATTCTTGAAATATTTCTATTTATACATGTATATACACACACAAAACATTTATATATAAGATACTCCATCTATGCAAATTAAGATTAAATCTTCCTGATAAAAGTTCATAAGTATCTTTTGAGGTATGATTACAAATACAGTGACTGCTGCTACTAACAGAAAGGCAGGTCTAGGCCGGGGTTTAGCCCAGTGATTCCGCCGCCTGCCTTGCAGGCGCAAAGACAGGAGTTCAATCCCCAGTACCAAAAAAAAAAAAAAAAAAACAACCAACAGAAAGGCAGGTCTGTGAGAACATTACAGTATACCTCCTCCACCTTATTCACCTTGGCACTGTGCCGCTTTTGGCTCTTCCCCAAAGTCAAAAGGACCAAGAAAAGTAAAGATTTTTGATGGATTCAGAATGTCAAGGCAATCATGACAGTGCAACTAAAACCACAAAAGAAGATCTTCCAAAACTGCTTTAGAAAGTCACAAGAATGAGAAGAGAAGTGTGTTTGAAGCCAAGGGTTTAATTTTGGATGGGGCTTAATGGCAATGTGTCTTTTACTGTAATAAATATTTTAAAATTTTAAATACCCCCCCCTTTTTTTTTTTGGTACCAGGGATCAAACTTGGGAACTTGCACTTGCAAGACAGGCAGTGGAAACAACATATCCATTGTGTTTTTATCACACCCTCTGCAATTCTCATCCCCCATGGAGTGAATCCTATTTTTTCCTTTCAGAATAGCACAATATCTAATACTATTGGCTTGATGCATTAGATGGAGCATTTACCAATGAAATAACAACCATCTACTTGTTTGTATTTTTAAAGGGCCATCAAGGTCAACCAGGACTCTCTGGGTTGCCAGGACCTAAAGGAGAAAAGGTATGTATTGAAATTTTAGTTCTAAAGTTAAACATTGAATTTATGATTTTTTTTCTGAAAGAATGCATGGAAATATTTCAAGGGATTAAAAATAACACTTCTTAAGTTAGAAATATTGCAAATTCTAGAAAAGCACAAATACCACGGAACTAAAATTTAAATAAACTTCTAAAATATCTTCTGTTGGTTATTTCAATATTGAGTAAAATAATAATAGTGTAATATTTTGTAATCTGTAGTTTTGTAAAAGTAAAATTAAGTACTTATTGAAATGGATTGTATGACTCTAGGTGGCTAAAATTTATATTAAAAATGAGGTAGGAGCAACTACAATAGCAACCTTGATTTATGATATCATTGAAAACTGATACATTCAGAAAATTTTTAAGATATTTGTATATATTTAAAACAGATACATATTTCTAAGAAGAACCATATACCTGTACAAATTATTACTGCGTATAAAATATCACATTTAGCTTCTTAGGTAAAAATTTTCCACTTAAAAAGATAGTGGTAAATTATATATTTCCTAAAATATTAGATAATGACAGGCTGTGTGTTTTTACAAGTTATTTTATTAATTTGGATTCCTTAGTAAATCATTTTTTTCATTTTAGGGTTACCCAGGAGAAGACAGCACAGTCCTAGGACCACCAGGGCCTCGAGGTGATCCAGTAGGTTTTTTCTAAAATTATTTTGATACATCAAGATGAAATATAATAATAGAGAAATAATGCCAATCTTATCTTTTCAAAGAGTTTTAGTTTGTTAATTTTATAACATGGTTTTATAAGACAGCAGTATTTGCTACCATAAAATGCAATGATGTGAAAATCTTATACATGAAAAACATGCAGGTCACAATCCTTAGCCTAATATATAAGTTTAAGCCAGTAACTTCTAAATTTAACTGTCAGCATAAAAGCATAACTTTTTACAGGGATTGCATAAAACATTCTTTTGACTTTTTAAGAGCAAATTATTTTTAATTATCAAATTAAGATTTTCTAAAGTATTAAAATCTGATCTGTATGCTGTTCATAATTTACATACAGTTGCCCAATGATTTCAAAACTTTTAAAACCAGTTATTCTAATCAGCAGCCTTTAAAGATCAAGGACCTAGTCTTTCTAACTAAGCGTTTTAAGGACTTAGTGTAACTATAGTTTTTGAAAAATATCTATTGTAGCTTTAATTCTCTAAGTATTTCCATCTTCATGTTTGACTAAATCTTTGTCCAAAAGACACATAAGTTAAATGGGTAAAATGAAAATGCATAACCTACAGAAACACATATAACTGGTTATATTTTTCAATTTTTCACATAGTATCATTTAACATAAAAATAATCCTAAAAACAGAAGAATATGTAGTCAGTCGGTCCTGGTATTTTGATATGGCTCTTTGAAGATAGTATAAAGTTATACTCTGTTTTAAAATTAGGAAATATTTTACTTTTTCTGATTAAATCAAGCCACCTTGTAAACGTCTTTATACAAATATGTAAGTTTCTTTATCAAACATATTTTACTCTGTCTAAACCATTAAGAGAGGGAATTATATGGGAAGAATACAAAAATATAAAAATAAATTGAAAAAAATTGGTAAATGCTAATATGGAAGAGCTTGTGTTTTCCCAAATTTAAGTATGCCAGGATCAAAGATTATCAGCTAACAGTGGTTCTGGCACCTGCCTTACAAGCACAAGGACCTACCTGAGGTTGATCTCCGGTACAAAAAAAAAAAAACCTGGACAGGGGCCAGGGATTTGCATTTAGCCTAGTGGTTCAGCCGCCTTCCTCAAAAGCATGAGGACCCAAGTTCAATCCCAGGTACCAAAAAAAAATTATCAGTTAAAGCACACTAAATGCCTACATATTGAAAGCTATAATAACTATCGTAGCTATATCCAGTAAATGTGAGACCAGCATGAAATTCAAACCTAAAATATCCTAAATAGTTAAAGGAGAGGCAGAGGTTATTGTCTTTGTATTATTGCTATTAACTTTATCTTCATAGAGGTAAGTTAAAATGTATCAATTAATATTACATAATAAATTCTATGGTTTTGTCAACTTCTTTAAATTTGTTTCTCTTCACACTGTAGGTTCTAATATATAATACCTTATGTTTTAAATGCATTTTATACAGGTAATATCAATCATTTATCATATTAAAGATTTTACCTCAGAAATATTTTTAAAATGAGTAAGACTGAGTCTATTAGGTTAGTTTCTGCCTTAAGGATTAAAGTTTGTAAGTGCAATTTTTGTTAGGTTAATTTATGTCTTGACAGTTAAAAACTTCAGATTAAGGAATAACAATTGAATTTTTATAAAGAAAGTAAACTTAAATATTTTTGTAAATATCATTAAATATAATTTTATATAATTAATGGAATTAAATGATCCTGCTTAAGTTTTTCTCACACATTTTAACACTAAAGATATGTTACTTTGTCATCATTTATACCACACTCTATACTATTCATTTAAAATTCAAATTTTAATTGGACATCATTATCTTCAAAGTTTTTCCTAGGAGAATCATGAATGTCTCTTTATATGATTCAGTGATCCAGTACATTTTAAAGTTCTGAATCAGTGATTCAGTACAGTTTGAAGTTCTTGATGCCATGGAAATTCAATGTTTAGAATTATTTAGGGAATTAAATGAATACATTAGATTTTAGAGGGAAAAGAATAATCCATACTAATTGTTTCACCTACATTCATGATCACAACAATGAAACTGATTGTTTTTGTGTGTGCTTTCTGCAGGGTCCAAAAGGGGAACAAGGAGAGAGAGGAGACTCTGGAGCAGAAGGATATAAGGTAATTTCAGAAAGTTTGCACCTTGCTTCCAAATTTGAGTAGGGTTCTTTTGTGGTTATTCTGAGTTTCAAATGAAAATAAGCATTGCTCACTGGGTGTGGTGGCGCATGCCTGTAATCCCAGCACTCAGGAGGCTGAGGCAGAAGGATCACTGTGAGTTCAAGACCAGCCTAGTCTACATAGTGAGTTCTAGGTCAGTCTCAACTACATAGTGAGACCCTGTCTCAAACCCGCCCCCTCCCAAAAAAAAAAGAAAAGAAAAGAAAAGAAGCATCACTGAGATAAGTAGTAATGTTCTGATATTTTTTGATACTAGAAGCAGCCTAACTCTTTCTACTATCTGTTCCTACAATCATCTTTGTTTCTGTCCACTCCTGCTTTCTTTGCACCATTCAGATCTCAACTGAAACGTTACCATGTAGAGGACTTAACTATACTATTCTAAATAGATCTATACGACTTTGTGTCATATTACCTAATTTTCTTCATGACATTTAAGGCTATATTGTCATATTAGTTTTTCATAATTTGTTCCTTTCCTTATTATCTACCTTCATCAACCAAAATGTAAGATCTATGACAGTAGGAATCTTGTCTCTCTTTTTCATTAGTATATTCACAATTTCTAGAACAAAAAATCCAGGTATTTTAGCTAAATAAAGTTGTCAAATGGATGGATAAATATCATTACACTTCCCAAGATTAAATCAATTCTTAACCTCTTTCATTTGTTAGAGATTAGAGTGTTAGAGATTTTTTTTCTCACTGAGTTTATTGGTACATTTTAGGTATACAGTACAGTTACATTCATCATTGGGCTCTTATATCTTTACATGACAGGTCTTGGTTGAAATTTTTTTTTCTTTTTTGGTACCGGGGATCAAACTTGAGACCTTGAACTTGCGAGGCAGGCAGTGGCAACACTGAGCTAAATCCCTGGCCCTTGTAAAAGAGATTTTTATAAGAATAACTTTACCAGCTAAAGTTATATTTCAATATGTAAAAATTTATTCATTATAATTTTAATATCATCTTCATGTTAAGATTGTTCTATTCTTGACTTATATCTCTTCAAAGCCTCACTGTTTGCAATCTGTTACTAAACAAAATAGTAACCTGCTAACTCTATATAGTTACTGCCTTATCTCCTTGCTCACAACATTCTCTGCCTGGTCCCAATATTATATAATCTTTAGTTACGTAAATCTTCTCTGTCCTTCATAATTTCATTCAAACTTCCCTTTCCCCTGACCTACTCACACAATAATCTTGTTGTATTCTGTACTGCTATAGTTCTGAGCCTGTACATAACAGACTTTCCATAAAATGAATTGGTTAATTGATCCAAAACATCATCCTCTCCGGGTAAAATTTCCTGAGGTTATTTCTGAAAGGCAGATTTACACTAGCCTGATTGAATGGACAGACTGATGGATACATAACTGTCATTATTAAACTGATTTTCTCCAGCCTTGTTTTTCTAGACTCTCTATTCCCAGTTATAGCTTTATCAAGTCCGTTCTCCACTTAACCTGTTCTGTCACATGAAATTTATTTATTCTCCATGTTGTCTGTCTCTTTGCCAGAATATCCTTGCTTTACTGGCTGGAACAGTCATCATTCAAGATTGAGTTTATCATCAGTTCCTTTATAAAATCCTGTCCCAGTTTCCTTTACCTAATCCACCACCAGTATCATCAGTTAAAATCTAACATTTCCCATAACTTCTTTTAAATTATTTTATAAAACATTTACTATAGAACATTTAATTTCAACCACTATATAAGAATGGTCATTACCAGTTTTTATTGGGATAAATTTGAGTAATTATAGCAAAATTCCTATGGAATCTGCCTTTTGTGAAATTTGTGTTAGACCTCACAAAGCCAAATGAGGTATTGGTTATTCCACTGTCATTCTGGAAAGTCCTCTCTGTACATACAAGATAATGGCAAAGCCACAACTGGCCACAGAATTCTGAGTGTTATAGTTGGCTCATCTGCTCACTCTTATTGCACTTTGTAGCTCAAGCTTTTCACCAGCCATTTACTTCCAGAAAGCTGTTTGATAAATGACCCATAAGGATTTGAATTTACTTGAACCACACCACCTTTCGATCTTCCTAATGCTGTTTCTTCACTGACTGTGCTCCTGCTTTGCTACTAAACAAAACAGGATCCTATATTAACAGTTTATGATTTAGTGTGGCCATGTGGAATATAGAAATCTTCCCCAAGCTAGCTTTTTCTCTCATGCCACTGTTCACTTCCTTAAACAGGATTCATTTTCTTTAGCAGGAAGTTGAAACTTGAAACCACAATTGCCTCATAGATGCAAACAAAGAAGGCTTCTGTTGACCTTTCTGTGAGAATACTGTTAGCCACACATGCAATCCCTTCTTCTAGTTCTGAAAAAAGATGATCTTGTTGTCTTTTCTCTAGCATTCTTTCTGTAACATAGAGAGAGTAGGAAGAAAGGAATCTCGGTGAAGAGGACAGTAGGGAAGTAGATAAAAGAGATTTCATGTGGAATTCTTCACCACAAATTTCACCTGACATGCCTCTGGCTTATTGCTAATTTCTGTTTACACACTTGAGAAAGGAAATGTGGTAGCTCAGCATTCATTGTTAGGAAAAATAGAGTGATGATAGATTGCTGAATATCAGAGGCATTTGGTATTTCTTGATATTGCATACAGTAACTACTCTCAATATTAAATGGAGACCAAAGAGCATTTCCATAGGAGCAATAGATTGAAAAAGAAACTTGTTCATACAGTCTATTCCTTTGGTCTTCCACTTCCACAGTTTCAACCAACCATAGATCAAAAATATTCTTAAAAGAATTATACCTGTACTGAACACGTACAGACTTTTTTCCTTGTCCTTAATCCCTAAATAATACAGTATAGGAATTATTTGCCCAGCTTTCATATTATGTGTGAATTACAAGTGACTACAGGTGATTTAAAGTAGTTTGGAGGATGTGCATAGGTTAAATGTAAATATTACATTTCATATAAGGCACTCCATCATCCTTTGATGTTGGGTCCTGGAACCAATCCCCCAAGAATATTAAGAAATGACCATATCAGTTTCCTGATGTTATTATAACAAACTACCATAAAATGGATGGCTTAAGGCAACAAAAATATTTTCTTTCCACTCTAAAGACCTGGAAATGGAACTTAAAATGTGAGTAGAACCACTCTCCCTCTAGAGGGTTTGGGAAGACTCCTTCCTTGCCTCTCTAGCTTCTGGTGTCTGTCAGCATTACTGTGGCTCTGTGACTCCAATCTCTGCCTCTAGCTTTACCTGGCCCTCTCCTGTTAAGTCTTCCTCCCTCTGTGTATGTTACAAGCACACTTGTTAGTGGATTTAGGGCCCACATGGATAATCCAGGACAATCATATCTTGACATCCTTAATGACATCTATAAAGACTCTTTTTCTAAATAAAGTCATATTCACAGGTTCTGAGGATGAATATATAGACATCTTAGGAGGCTACCATTCAGCCAACTATATTGATTCTCATAAGAAACAAAAACAAAACTGTATACTTGCTCACTGCAATATTTTCTATTCATCATAATATCTAATGGGTATTATGTTCTACCCTATTTCTAAGAAGAATCAATATCTATGATATTTAAATTGAGTTTTGCAACACTTTGTTACCAATTTAAGAGATAGTACAATATTCTCTAAATTACATGTCTCTATTTATTATAATAATCTTTTCTACTTCTAGGGTCATGTGGGTGTACCAGGACTAAGAGGTGCTACTGGACAGCAAGGGCCCCCAGTATGTTTTGAAAGCATTATCTATCATTCTAATGTTTTAAAATATTAATATTAATATGACTTTTGTCTCTGCTTTACATGTGATTTCTATTTTGAATCCTATTAAAGGGAGAACCAGGTGACCAAGGTGAACAAGGAGTAAAGGGAGAGAAAGGATCTGAAGTAAGTTGAAATTGTTTAAAACAATGTGGAACACAAGAGAATCACTACTTATTGTAATTTAAATAATCATTTGTCACACAAACAGGATCACTGTCGGCCTCACTGATTCATATGTTTTTTACTGTTGTCCAGATATCATTTTATTAGCAGCCTTCTCTGGCTTTGTGAACATTGCCTAAGGTTGTCCTAAATTAGTATCCTCTTCTTTTGGTTTCAAACAGAAATACAATTATTGTAGAGTAAAAACTACCAGTCAAGACTATTTTGTTGTGGAATGCAGTAAAGAAAAAAAATTCATTTATACTTGCTGAAGCATGGAATAAAGGCTTTATTAAGAACTGTCACAGCAGATACAATGGGATTTTGCAATGGGGAAGAGACAATAGGCTGAACTCTGAATATAGCATCTACAAGTGGGAAACTGTAGCCAAGGAACAAAGTGGGGGTCACAAATGGAAAACTACTACAGGGAAACTCAAGGCTAAGGGGGATTCTGGCTAAACTGACCTAATAGGATTCTTCATGAAAACAAGCCAGGGTGATCAGACAGCACCTAGGGCAGTGGTGGTGAGCCTACTGTGTGCGTGCCACACAGCAGGCTATAGGTATCATTGAAAATCTAAAAGGTTCACCATCACTGACCTAGGGGGTAGTGGAGGATGAGAAACCTGATTATGTATCCAGGGTGATAGATGCTGAAACATAGTCCAAGAGCACATTAAAAACCCTCTTAGAGTTTAAAAAGAACCAACTGCTGCAATAATAACCATTGACTATGTATTATATTCTTTAAAGACACTTTCAGTGGCCAGATGGATTCTGTCCAGTTGCTGTCAACTTGTTTCTATGAAGTTTTAAATTTATTCCTTGGATTTTGAAATAGCCCCTTAAAATTATCTGGATAACCTATTATATCCCAGAGAGATCATGAGTTATCTAAAATTGCAGAACTAAATTACCAACAGAACTAACATTAGAAACTTTGTTTCCTGACTCCCATTATTTTTTTTTCAGCTTTAATTGAGTTTATTGGTACATTTTAGGGATACAGTACAGTTACATTCATTGTTGGGATCTTGTACCTCTACATGACAAGTCTTGATTCTCATTTTTTCCCCTTACCTCTTCCCTCCCTTCACCCCCTCCACCCCTCCCCATCTACAAACACTTTATTTTCATCTTTTCATTCTCTCAATTTTTTTCTTTTCCCTTTTTACTCTTCCCCTACCCATCCCACCTTCCCTACACCTTTAGCTCCTTTCTTCCCATTTCTAAATGTCAGTAATCTTATTAGAATCTTATGCATTATTGCAGATTATTCACACCAGGGAAACTATTCAGTATTTACACATGTGTGACTCATTTATTTCACTTAGGAGTATATCTTCCATATGTATCAATTTTCCTATGAATGAATCTATTTTCTTGTTCTTTATGGCTGAGTAATATTCCATTTT